AACATGAATAATCCAAATAATTTGTTCAAGTTTTCAGAGTTAATAGTGGTAGAGCAGGGATAGTTTCAAAACCAGGCAGATATGACCTCCAGAAATCTTTGTCTTCCCTTGTCTGCTTTCCACTTCTCATTTCATTGGGTTTGACTGTTATGAAAAAGGTAAAATGGAAGTCTTTAACTGAGATAGTGTTTTAATCAGCACAAAATTGGAAGCTAGCACAAGCCTAGAGAATGGATGCCAGAGAAGCTAAAGATAGTTTACTTGACAGTGATAAGCAAGGGGGCTGACATGGTTTCAAAATGAATCACTTGAAAAAGTAAGTGAGGCCTTTGAACTTCTGATGGAATGTGATTGTTTATAGACATTGACAATACAGGGGACAGCATGCTGGTGTTGAGAGTGCCTTCATTCTTGGTGGAATGCTTACCAAGCTGCATGCCTTCTGTCAGGGGAAATTGCTGCTGAAGAACCAGCGGGGAGAGGACAGTCTCTGGGATCACTGCATGCACTCCTTTCTTTCTGCACTTTCCCCCTAGCACAACTACTGTGGATCCACCTCACTCTTAGGTTGCAAGCCTGCTGGCTTCTGGATAGGATGAGGAAAAAGGGCTGAAGCATTGTGTAAACTGGCAGACTAAACTCAAGGGTTTCCAGTAGCATATATTTGGCATTTGGTGATTCCGAGAATGGGTTTTGATGTAAGCACTTCCTGATTTAATCACATAAATATAGATAAATGCAGGCAGCTGACTACTCTAGACTTGTTTGTAATTTAGAGACTCATGAAAAGAGCTTTTGTTGGTTTATGTAACTAAAGATTTCAAGTGAACTTTCTTTTATTCTCCTTTGCCGAAAATGTTTTCTGTATTTCCCCCTGCTTATGTGATTGATGCAGAGGAAAGACGAGGCTTTCTGCTCCTGCAAAGATTTAAAGGCTCAAACCCTATATAGCAGGGTGGCTATGAGTCAGAACCGATTGGATGGTGCATTGTCAGAAAGCCTACAGTTTCATAAAAGAAGAGAAGGAAGATAGAAGGAAGCTAAATTTTGGAGGAGAACTCTATACAATGATAGACTTTTTTTCTTCTTCCCCTTATCAATGAGAAATACAGACACTGAAAGCGGAATTTCAGAAACTGACCTGTAAGAATGTTGTTGGTTGTTGGTAAGTGATGTCAAGTCGAGTCCAACCCATAGCGACCCTGTCTAAGGTTTCCAAGGAGCAGCTGGTGAGCTTGAATCACCGACTTTGCAGTTCAAATGACTTTGCACTCTGGCACATTAACCCACAGTGCCACACCAGGACTTTAAGGATAATTACAGATAATTTATAGGTTAATACGTTAGGTGCCTTCAAGTCAGTACCAACTCATAGTGACCCTGTGAACAACAGAACGAAACACTGCCAGGTCCTGGGCCATCCTCACTGCTGCTGCCACTGTGCCATTCTATCTATTTGGGGGTGTTCATCTTTTTTCACTGATCCTCCACTTTACCAAGCATGACCAGGAACTGGTCCGTCCTGATAATAGATCCAAAGTATGAGAGATGAAATCTGGCCATCGTGACTTCTAAGGAGCATTCTGGCTGTACTTCCAGTACTGATTGGTTTGTTTTGTTCTTTTGACAGTCCATGGTACTTTTAATATTCTCCTCCAACACCATTACTCAAATGTATCAGTTCTACTACAGTTTTCCTTATTATATGCCCAACTTTTACATGTATATGAAGCTATTAAAACTACCATGGCTTAGGTCAGGTGCACATTAGCCCTCAGACTGACTCTTGTCTCGTCAACACTTTGAAGAGGTCTTGTGCAGTAGCTTTGCCTAATGCATTACCAGTCTTTATTCTTACTTAGATTGATATGAGAAAGGAGAAAATGTCTATGATCTACCATAAAAGGATGTTCTTGGTAACGGCTTTCGAGTCGGTTGGCTCTGACTCATGTTGTGTTGTTGTTAAGTGCCATGGAGTTGGTTCTAACTCATCGTGACCCCGTATAGGGTTTCAAAGGAGCGGCTGGTGGGTTTGAACTTCCAATCTTGTGGTTCAAACTGACCTTGCAGTCCCTTGCATTTCCCACAGTGAGGAAGACTCATTAACAACCTGCAATATGCAGAGGACACAACCTTGATTGCTAGAAGCGAAGAGAACCTGAACCACTTACTGATGAAAATCAAAGACTATAGTGTTCAATATGGATTGTACCTCAATGTAAAGAAAACGAGAATCCTCACAACTGTACCAATAAATAACATCATGATAAAGACAGGAAAGACTGAAGTTTTCAAAGACTTTATTATGCTTGGATCCACTATCAGTGCTTAGGGTAGCAGCAGTCAAGAACTCAGAAGAAAGGAGAGAGAGAAAAAACAAAAAGATTTGGAAATGGATAGTGGCGATGTTTGTGCAACATGTGATGTGTGCTTTGCGTGGCTGGATTGCACATGTAAAAACATGGTTGAAATGGCAAATGCAAATTACAATAATGAAAATATTAAAGTGGAACTGTTTCCTTCCTTGAAAAAAAACTAAAACAAACTCAGACGCCAAATTGGATTAGGCAAATATGTTGTAAAGATCTCTTTAAAGTGTTAAGACCAAAGATGTTAGTTTGAGGATTAAGATGCTCTTGCCCCAAACTATGGTGTTTTCAGTAGTCTTATATGCATGGGAAAGTTGGACAATGAATAAAGAAGACCCTAGAAGCATTGATGCATTTGAGTTATGGTGTTGGAGAAGAATATTGAAAGTACCATGGACTACCAGAAAAACAAGCAAATCAATGTTGGTTGAAGTGCAGCTAGAATGCTTCTTAGGCCGGATGGAGAGACTTTGTCTCTCGTACTTTGGCCATGCTATTAGAAGGGACCAGTCCTGGAGAATGACATGATGACTGGAAACGTGGAGGGTCAGCAGAAAAGAGAAGACCCCTAATGAGATGGATTGACAGAGTGACAGCGACAATGAGCTCGAACGTAATTGTGAGAGTGGTGATCCTAGGACGGGGCAGTGTTTCGTGCTCCTGTGCATAGGTTTCCTGTGACTCAGAACCGACTTGACAGCACCTTTTAAAAGGAGTACATGTAATTCTAAGTGCTCATCATTACAACCTAACATTTAGTACAGTGCTTCCCATAGTAGATAGTAATTATAAGAGCAAATGACTATATCTATTGAATAGATCAATGGTATGAATCATGAGGTTTGCTTCAAGTATTAGAGAAAGACAGTTAAATATTGGTTGAGGAAAAGAAGAATAATTTTGGAAACTTGGCTAGAGAAAGACATAGATTTATTGAAGAGGAGGTATTTATGTTCCTGGCACTATTTTCAGTTCAGAATGACTCAGTGAATGTACTATATTATAAGTACTGAAAACATTTTCAACTGGAGGCTGCTTTGGTTGTTTTTATATAGTTGAAGGGGAAACTCAAGGATATTGGACCTGGGATTAACTTCTGTTATAATTCCGCCTTTATGTTGCCCTTACCAATATCAATGTCCAATTTTGTGAAGCTGTAGCTCTTCTTAAATTGTAAATAGTGAACAGAAGAAATGCAACAAGAATATATAAACCAATGTAAAAGTAGTTTACAACTGAGCAAAATTACTTTCTAAAAATATGTCGCCTTCATTGTTTATTTAAACAGCTGTGGCAAGACAGCATCTCTTAAAGTAAATGTAAGTCAGAATACCTAGTTCACTGTGATATTCTTTCCCGTGCCTCACTGTCTTCCTGCCCATTTTGCAGTGAGGATTTGCAGGCCCTTTAAGCTCATCAGTCTTCCTTGAAGTGCTGTTAAGAACTTGAGCTCTAGTTCAGACTCACTAGAACTGATATAGGCCCAGCTGAAAGGAAGAGTAGAAACTTGAGCTTTTTCACATGCATTTTCCTATTTAAGAAAGAAATGGATTTATTCAAAAACCATGTTCAGCACTGAGTATATGTGTTTGAAATCCAAATATGTAAAACACTTATGTGAAGTTTTCTTTTAGAGTTGGTGTTACAAACAAAAGGATCCTTGGTGGGTGTCACAGTGGCAAAGTGCTCAGCTGGTAACCAAAGAAGGGTGGTGGTTGGAGTGAACCAGCCACTCTGTGGGAGAAAGATGTGGCAGTCTGCTTCTATAAAGATTACAGCCTAAGAAACCCAGTGAGGCAGTTCTACTCTGTTCTGAAAACTCACAGTGACTTGGAATGGATTGCAGTGGGTTTTTGGTGTGTTATTAAATGTCTGTTTTCAAAATAGGAAAAAGACCCAACTTTTGTAACCACACAGTAGAGCTCTTGTCATCATAATTTCGTGGAAATGTGTGGATATAGGCTTGAAGTGCTACTTTTGACTGTAACCTGCTATGGATGATCAGATGCTGGCCAGCTCAGATACTTTTCCTAGTGTTCAGGTTATCTGGACTGCTGCACAGGGCTTGGCACACTAAGAGATTCGTTGGCATTGCCCTTTGAGCAAGCTCTAGAGCCGTGCATGTTCTCTGGAGCTGTGCTTTTGAATTCTTGAACTATATTAGTGCAACTGACCATATTTTATTTAATTGTGATGAATTTAAATTTAAAAACTGCATGTCACCAATGTCTGCTTTATCAGACAGTGCTGATATAGGACAGTTCCCAGCATTTTACTGCCCTTGAGGCCTCATTCTCAGATGCCTGGTGGCCTGGTGCTCGCCATTGAGCAAGTAGATGCTTTCCCCCAGTATTCTCATTTATAAGATGGAGGTGGGGGGGGGAGCGCAGACGCCCTTTGGTTGCCAAGAATATTAATATGTGAATTTAAAAGACCCACAGAGTTTTGTTTCCTAAGGTGGAGGGAGTGAACACATGAAAAATGCCATAGAAAATGGATGATGGCATTTCTTAGAGTAATAAACTGTTAAACAATGTTTGGTAACTGCTAGCACAGTGGTTTGTTGATTCAGAGAACTTTTGCTAATGCATCTTTGGAAATTCTGTAATCCTTGTCACTTTTTCTATTTAGGTACTTAAAGCTTTCACCAAAACACCCAGAATCAAACACTGCTGGTATGGACATTTTTGCCAAATTCTCTGCATATATCAAGAATTCAAGACCAGAGGCGAATGAAGGTAATAGAAATTAAAAAGTTGAATTACAGCTGCAAAAAACCCCCAAAACCTCTTCTGATGACAGTGATTATTGATTAATACTTTGGCGCCCGAGCATTTCCATAAATATTATGATAAACATGGATAAGTCTGTAAATTGCTATTTCCTCAGTGATTGGCACAGTGCCTGCCCTATAGGGGGTGCATGAAAAAATGTTTATTGAATAAATTTGTTCTCAGATTCTTCTGAGAAATTACTGTGAAGGGAGTTATGCAAAGAATTACTGGTTCATCAGAAGCTAATGGATCTATATGGTGGTGTGATAGTTGGAAAGGATTGATCTAGCTTAGTAAACTATTACTAAATCTTTTCTTTATTATGGAGTGTCAACAGCCAAGTAAGTATCAGTCTGTGTAGGTTTTTGGTCTGTTAGTTGCCATCTAGTCGACGTGTACTCATATTTCTTCTAAGACTGATTTGTTCTTTTGGCTGTCCACCATATACTTAATATTTCTTGTAATATCACAATTCAAATGTGCCACTTCTTTGGTCTTCCTTTTTCATTATCCGGCTTTTGCACTCATAGAAGGCTATTGAAAGACAATAGCTTGTCACAGGCACATTATAGTCATCAGAGTGACAGCTTTTCATTTTGAAACTTTAAAGAGATGCGTTGTAGAAGATTTGCCCAATGCAATACATTGTTTGATTCCTTGACTGCTTCCACGAATGTCCAAGTAAAATGAGATTTTGGGCAACTTTTCCTTTCTTCATTTATCATGGTATTTATTGATCCAGTTGTTTATACCCACGTGTTAATTACCCTTATAAAGTAGGTTTTGATGTACTTAAAAGGGTAATTAGACTTATCAGCCTTAGACATTTTTCTGCATTATGCTAATTAGGATTTTAGTTCTAAGATATATTTTCATGGTGAACATTGCATAGGTAGTACAGATGGAATTTCCTTTTCTGATGTACTAAAGGACATTATCTTATTTCATTTATTAAATTTATGGTAGAGTGAAGTGAAATCTCTTTAATAGAGAGCCTGTTTGATGCCACCAGTCTTACTTCATTTGGTAATTTCCCGTTTTCTTTACTTTGGGATGTTACGTATTGTTCTCTCCAGGGATTGCTGTGTGAAGAGCAATGTTGTTGAGTGACATTCGAGTCCGTTCAGACTCAAAACTCTGTAGAGGGTTTCCGAGGCTGTAGAGCTCTGTGGGTGCAGAAAGCCTCCTCTTTCTCCCAAGGAGAGCTCGAATACTGACCATGTGGTTTGCAGCCCAGTGCTTACCCCACAGAACCACCATGCTTCAATATGTTGCTGCTGTTGTTAGGTGCCATTGAGTCGGTACTGACTCAGAGTGACCCTGTGAGCACAACAGAACAAAGCACTGTCCGGTCCTGGGCCAACCTCACAATTGCTTCCGCCGCTGTGCCAATCCATCTCGTTGGAGGTCTTCCTCTTTTTCTCTGACCCTCCACCTTACCAAATGTGATATCCTTCTCCATTGACTGGTCCCTTCTGACAACATGTCTAAAGTATGAGAGACGAAGTTTGGCCATCCAGGCCTCTAAGGATCATTCTGGCGGTACTTCTTCCTACACAGATCTGTTGGTTCCTTTGGCAGCCCATGGTACTTTCAGTATTCTCCTCCAACACTGTAACTCAAATGCATCAATTCTTCTACTATCTTCCTTATTCACTGTCCAGCTTTCGCATGCATATGAGTAACCTCATATGAGAATACCATGGCTTGGGTCAGGCATACCTTATCCCTCAAACTGACATCTTTGCTCTAGAACACTTTAAAGAGGTCTTGTGCAGCAGATTTGCCTAATGCACTATATCATTTGATTTCTGGACTGCTGCTTCTATGAGTGTTGTTGGTTGATCCAAGTAAAATGAAGTCTTTGACAACTTCAGTCTTTTATCTGTTGATAATGGATGTTGTTTATTGGTCTAGTGGTGAGGATTTTTGTTTTCTTTACATTGAGATGCAATCTGTACTGAAAGCTGTGGTCTTTGATCTTCATCAGTAAGTATTTTTAAGTCCTCTTCACTTTCAGCAAGCAAGGTTGTATCAGCTGCATAGCGCAGGTTGTTAATGAGTCTTCTTTCAATCCTGATGCCATGTTTTTCTTCATATAATGCACTTTCCTGGATTATTTGATCAGCATGCATATTGAATAAGTATGGTGAAAAAATACAACCCTGGCCACACACCTTTGTTAATTTTAAACCATTCAGTGTTCCCTTGTTCTGTTTGAATGACTGCCTCTTGGTCTATGTGTAGGTTCCTCATGAGCACAAATAAGTGTTCCAGAATACTCATTCTACACAGTGTTTTTCATAGCTTGTCATGATCCACACAATCGAAAGCCTTTGTGTAGTCAGTAAAGCATAGGTAAACATCTTTCTGTTCCAATAACGAACATTAGAATTTACTTAAAATTAACAGTAACAAAACCCCCTAATGTGGAGAAACACTCTAATCCTTTGTTTTAGATACCTTGGCAGTTAGATGGGATTATGTTTAGTAGAGGTTTGTGGCAACAAATGAACAAAGGTAGAATATATTTCAGTGCTTAGCAAGAGTAAGTTATGTTTTAAAGATGGGAGCACTGGCTAATTTCCAAGTAGGTAGATTTTTAAGCTTATTTTTTTGGTTCTTAAATTTTTAAATTGCTGTATTGTAGAATTAATTTAGTATTTAGTTTTGATAATTTGCTCTTGGTTTCTGGGGTAATATCCACATCATATGTTTTTTTTCCTACAGTGACGGTGGGAGGGGAAAACCTTAATTCACAGGCCTGTGCATGCAGTCCAGGAGCTCACTTGGATTGGAAGAAGTTTCCCTGAATAATTGGCTTCTACCCTACCCCGCAACTAATGTTTCTGTTGCAGCAATTTATACATTAAGCAAACAGTTAACGGCGGGCCCATCCTTCCCACAATGTCTTCTCTGTTTTATTCTCCTTCAGAGAGGCCAACAGCTCTTTTCATAAGACTACCCTTTTATACCCAAATGCTCTTGATGTATAGCTCTTTGATTGATTAAAGTCATAATGTTTGTATTTCTCCCTTTGACCTTGGGAGCTGAAGGGTGGTTGAGCTTCTTCTGATACTTGGTGGGAAGGAGAGGGGAAGAAAATGTGTTTGCTTTAAAAACAAAAACAATGCTTTTAGGGACTGGGGTTGGGCCGAGAGCATCAGGGAGAAAGTGACTCATTTAAGTATAACTTTGTATTCTGTTTTTTTCCTATCAATTTGATATTGTCTTAAGTAGCCACCTACGCTTACTGTCCTCAGAATGTTATAACCAACAAGAACAAACAACCTAATGGATTACACGGTGCACAATTTAGAAGGTTTTATATTGAATTACCTATTGGTAAATAAGAATTCCAGTTGCCAAGCAACTTCCCCCCTATAGGGAACTGTTGGTGACATATGAGACTTTAGATAACAGTATCCTAAATTACTTTGGAGTTTAATGGGTCTTCCCTGATGTATGTTTGCTTCAGGCCTCTTATCTGTCTATTTAGTGCAATTAAATGCAATTTATAAGCCTGGGAAATTAGTGATCTGTCTACTTATTCCCTCAAATACCCACCCAAACAAACAATAAGCAAGTATATAAAGATTATTTATCATTTTATGTGGCAATTCTGAGTAGGTGAATCTTTGATATATTAGCCTTTTAAGTATTTTACAAAATCCAATGTAGTTTTAGGCCAGTGAAAGTGAAACAAAAGGACCAATGTTTAGATTGGTGTACAAAGTAAACAAGATTTAAAGAATAAAACAGAGAGAAACCCTGGTGATAAATAGATAGCTGTATAGATAGAATAAAAGAAAGAAAATAAACTATTTGATTATTAGGTAAATTGTCCAAGTTGATAGCGAATAAAAGGTTTTAGAATATTTTGAAATATTTGAAGGAGAAATTAATGGATAAATCCTTTTTTGGGTATGATTTTGATAGGGCCTAAAATCTGAGTTTGCTCAGTTTTTGTGATTGCATTAATTTAAACAATTTGTTAAACTTACAGCTAATATGTAATTTATTAGTTTGTTGGTATGTATACTGTTTTTAAGAGATCACTTAATTTAATGGTGATAAAACATGCCAGTATATGCTCAGAGACAGCTTTTATAATATCTAGATTTCTGTTTCTGTTTTACCAGATTATCTGATTTTAGTTGCTTTTTATTCAAGATCTTTTTTCTAAAGAAAAGTCTTTGGAATCAGGATGTTTGATCATTCTAGTATAATTAATAGTCTTTAAAAATACTCATTACCTCGCCCCATTTTCCTCTGATATGTAACCTGACCTTAAAAAATGATTTAATAAAGGTCACCTTTATTAAAGCTGGTTGCTGCTGCTCTTACGTGCTGTTGAGTTTGTTTCAACTCATAGCGACTTTGTATAGGGTTTCTGAGGAGCAACTGATGGATTTGAACTGCTGACCTTGTGGTTAACAATCCAGGGCTTATCCTACAGCACCACCCCAGTAGCTTTGAAATACAGTTTTATCTATGTAAGTGTTCATATTTGTAAACGGTCTTTGTTGTTTTCATTGTGAATTGTATTGTTTTTCAGCAACAGATACCCTCTTTGTTTTAATGGTTTTTATTTGAATTTTATACATTGAAATTATGTAAATTATATAGGAAAGTATGTTTATTTAGAAAGTTAAAAGTAGTATAGAAGTTAAGTTTAATAAAATTTCATTGTCCTTCCTTAGTCCCATTATATAACCTCTCTTTCTCAACAGTTTAGTATGTACTTCTCACTCCCCTTTTTTTCTATGTAACTCTGTAAGCACTGGATTGCAAACTATAAGGTCAGCAATTCAAACCCACCAGCTGCTCCTTGGAAAACCCTATACAGGGTCACTATGAGTCGGAACCCACTTGATGGCAGTTAATACGTATTTACATTTTGCAGTTGGCTTTTTTTTTTTTAACTTAGTGATAGAAATCCTTCCATATAAAAATGTAGATATACATTTTTTTCCTTAAATTTTATTTTTTAAATGCTATTTAATATTCTCTAGTAAAGATTTTTTACAAATCATTCTCATGTTGATGGATATCTTTTTACACAGCAGATCATTCTTCCAGTGATGCCTTTATGCTAAATTCCTGGAAGTTATGAAGAAGGTCACAAAGTTGGAGCATTTAAAAGTTTGCCCTGTTTTGCCATATTGTTCTTCAAAAGCCTACACCAGTTTATGTTTTCACTCAAGGGAATGTATTTGTTTCCCCACATACCAGCCCTGGTGTTGTGTGTAATCATCCTTAAAATAGGCAAAAAATATTTTTTATTTCCACAGTTTAAAAATGATTGCACAACCTCTGTAGTATTTTTGTTCGTTCTGTCTTTGGAGAGCTTTTGAAATAGCTTAGAGACATCAACATTACTACAGCAGCAGTTTAGAGAATAATAGTGCTATTTCATTACAAGACTAGGTGTTCCTTTGATGGCCTCTACTGCCTCCTAGTGGTTACTCTCGATACTTTCTTTATTTCATTCTTAAGTGCCATAGAGTAGGTTCCAAGTCACAGCAAAGCTGTGTGTAGTTTATGGGGAGTGGTTGGGCTTCTACAGCACCACACCAGAGCAGCCAACTTCATGTGCCTTTGTAATGGTTTGTTTGCACAACTTTATTATCAAATGGCAATTTTTCGTATCTCTAAGCATGGAGTCCCAGTGTGGCACTGTAGGATAACGCACTAGACCACAAGGTTGGTTTGAATCACAAAGTCAAGATCTCAAACCCACTGGCTGCTTCTCAGACACCCTATACAGGGTTGGTATGAGCTGGAGCCTGAACTGGCTCGATGCCACTAAACATTACCTATTCTTTACATTTTTAAAATGTGTATTAGTCAAGATTCTCCATATAAACAGAGTAGTAGGATAAATACAGACAGACAGATAGGTATGCAGTTAGGTAGATAGGTTCTGTTGGTTGATTTCGTTGGTTGATTTCAGTGATTGCTGGAGCTGGCAAATCTGAACTTTACAAGGTTGGGAAGTCTAGGGCAGGAGCAGAAACAGAATTTCTTCTTCCTGTTTTCTGCTCTTCCTTCCACCACCACTCAGTCTTGTCATACTGTGCTGCTTGGTGGGGTGCTGTGATACTAGAAGCTATGCCACCACTATTTCCGATCCCATTAGGCCATGGTTTACAGGTTTCAGTGGGACCTGCAGACTAAGGTTGGGAAGAAGAACCTGATCTTCTGAAAAACACTTGGTCCGTGAGGACCTCCTAGCTAGCAGTGGAACACTGTCTGATACAGTGCCAGAGGCTAACTCTGAAAACACAGCTCAGGAAGAGCTGCCGTCGGGAGCTTCATTTGCTGACGTGGAGTGACTCAAAATGAGAAGATACCTCTGCAGACACCCATCAGCAATGGAAACATGGGATGTACGAAATAATGAATCAAAGAAAACGGAAAGTTGCCAGAAATAAAACGGAACCCTTGAAGATTGATAAGCCTTTGTGTTAGTGAGATGAAATGGACTGGTAGTAGTCATTTTGATTTGTACAGTTATGCGCTGGACTGCAAAGTCGGTTTGAACAGCAAGGTTGGTGGTTCAAGCTCACTAGCTGTTCCTCAGAAACCTTATACAGGGTGGGAGCAACACAATGACACTTAACAACAACAACCACCACGTAATACTAATGTCAGATGACAAGTTGAAGAGGAATGGCATCACATTCATTCTCCAAAAAGACTATTTCACGATCTATCCTGAAGTACAGTATTGTCAGTGACAAGCTAATATCCTCATGCCTACAAGGAAGACTAGTTAATAGGAGTATTACTCAAATTTATATACCAGTCCCTAATGCCAAAGATGAAAAAATTGAAGATTATCAGTAACTTTTGCAGTCTGAAATTGATCAAACATGCAGTCAAGATGCATTGATAATTACTGGTGATTGGAATGTGAAAGTTGGTAACAAAGTAGCTGGAAAATAGGACCTTGGTGATAGAAGTGACACTAGAGATCACAGACATAACAGAATTTTGTAAGACCAACAATTTATAAATTTGGGAATACCTTTTTTTCCAACAACATAAATGGCGACTATATATATGGACCTCACTGAATGGAATACACAGGAATCAAATGGACTGCATCTGTAGAAAGGCCTGGTACTGATTGGAACAGGTCATCAATTGTTCACATGCTGGCACAAGTTGAAGCTGAAGAAAATTTAAACAAGCCACAAAAGGATGTGACTTTATTGCACATATTTTGTGCATGTTATTAGCCATTACCAGTCCCTGGAGAAGGACATCATGCTTTCCAGATACACAGAGGGTCAGCAAAAAAAAAAGAGGAAGACCCTCAACAAGACCAATTAACACAGTGTCTGTAATCAATAATGGGCTCAAATTATAGGAATTGTAAGAATGGCGCAGGACTGGGCAGTGTTTCTTTCTATTATACATGGGGTTGCTATGAGTCAAAACAGCAAACAAGTGAAGCATTATCTTTTTTGTTAAAGGGCCCAGCCAAGCCCACCCATTGCCATGGAGCTGATTCTGTTTTATAGCGGCCCTATATATTAGCGTTTTTGAGTCTGTAAATCTTCACAGGAGCATAAGTCCTGCTCTTTCTCCTTCGAGTGACTGGTGGTTCAAACTGCTGACTTTGCAGTTAGCAGCCCAATGCATAACCCACAATGCCACCAGGACACCTTAAAGGACCCAGCAGTATTACTTTATTCAGATGTGTAACTATATGGATTGTCACCTCACAGATTCAACTTTTTTTAATGGTCAAGTCTTGGTGTGCCGCTGTTGAATAATCACTGAACTCCTAACCACAAGGTTGGTAGTTCAAACCCACCAGCCTTTCCTTGGAAATCAGCCCATATAGGGTTGCTTTGTGTCGGAACTGACTCAATAGTACTAACAAGAATAATTAGTTATCAGTTTGAGTTAATACATTCTGGAGGTGGGGGTGAAGGTGGATTAGGAAGGTAAAGAGATCTACCTGTTTTTATTCCATATTGGTTGTTTCTTTCTAATGACATTTCCATTTCTTCTGGTAGCGTAGTAGTTACAAATTGGGCTGCTAACCTCAAGGTCGGCAGTTCGAAACTACCAGCCTTTCCGCGGGAGAAAGATGAAGCTTTCTGCTCCCATAAAGATTTACAGCCTGGGAAACCCTGTACGGGGTGGCTATGAGACGGAACCAACTCCAGGGTACTTAACAACGACAACAACAAGGGTCACTAAAGGTTTAACTTTCTAGACACACAGTGGTAACTTTGTTTCATTTCTCTCTGAATTTTAACCATGTAGTATCAAAATCTGTTTGCCTAAAGGAACCCTCACTTCAGCATTGTAAACAGAACCACTCTAATCTAACCTTTGTTTTCTCTGAGCTTTTCTTTGGCTTGGTTTCTATTGTTGTTAAGTCGGTTCCAACTCATAGCGACCTTGTATTGGGTTTCCAAGGGGCACCTGGAACACAGACCTTATGGCTCGCAGTCCAGTGCTTATCCTATAGAGCCCCATCAGGAGTCCCTTTTTGTATTATTTTTGTTGTTGTTAAATGCCTTCAAGTCAGTTCTGACACATAGCAATCCTATGTAGGGTTTCCAAGGAGTGCTGGTGAGTTTGCACTACCAACCTTGCAGTTCAAACCAACCTTGAGGTCCAGCGCACTATCCTTCAGTGCTACACCAGGACTCCTTTTTGTATTACAGGATAGTGCAAAAACTCCAAAAAGAAACCCTCTGACTACAAGTGTTCTATTTGGCTCTTCTTACTGGAGTTTCTTACCACATCCTTGCTAAATCTAAATATTCCTGGTGCGGCGCAAGATTAACATTAAGGACAAGAATCTCTGTCTCTGCTTTAAAAGATTTGCTTCTTTTCACCCATTATCCCAGTTTCAGAATAAACTGCTGGCCGAATGGGTAAGCTCCTGTATGGGACACTTATCAATTAGTAAGATTTTACAGATGACCACTCTCTGAAACTGTTGTTCTGTTTGGTTTATAATGGCTAGTGTTCACGTAAGCATTTGGTAAACAATTTTGAATGAAAAAAAAAAAATCATGCTTCTATGTTGAGGTCTCAGTTTCTTTCTTAACAGCATTCCCCTTTCTTTCAGCATTGGAGAGAGGTCTCTTGAAAACACTGCAGAAACTGGATGAATATCTGAATTCTCCCCTCCCTGATGAAATTGATGAGAATAGTATGGAGGACATTAAGTTTTCTACACGTAAATTTCTGGATGGCAATGAAATGACATTAGCCGATTGCAACCTGCTGCCCAAACTGCACATTGTCAAGGTAGGCCTGTTGTGTTAGATGTGCTTTCAAGTTGCCATTAGACCTAGTATTCTGGTTACTAAGATCATGCTTCATTTGTGCTTAAATCTCTCTCATTAGCTGATGTTTGACGAATGTTAGGTGCCAACAGCTCGGCTGGGTTCTGTCAGGGAGCAGCTTGCCGGGTCTATCTTCCACCGAGCTACTGTGTGTGTTCAAACCACCAACCTTTCTGTCGACAGCTGAGTGCTTAACTGCTTATACCACAGGACTCTAGAATATTTGACCAGGAATCTTTAAATAATATAACTTAATGATGATTAGATACTATTTGAGACACCCTAAGTTAATTAAGTAGAAAATTATGTCTGGCAGATTGAGGTATATGAAGAAATGGAATTATTTTTTTCATGACTGCATAAAAATATAAAGATGTAGCAGATAATTTTGCAATGGAATTTGATACACTGACTTACTTTGTCATATTCTGTTCTACGATAACCCAGCCTTTTCTATTCAAGGCAAAAAAAAAAAGACTGCACATTTATTACATGAGATTCTGTGGTAAACACATTGCTAAATAGAATAATAATGAATACTAGTTGTGCAATTATGTCTATTGTAAGAAAAACAGAGGTCTAAAATAATGTGTGTTCCAGTGATTACACTTAGCTGTCTGTGTGGGTGTCCAGGGAAGGCATCTGTAATCACTGTCACATTTTTGAATCCCTGGTGTGCAGTCCTGGTCATTAAATCAGAATGAAGGTGACAGGCACCTTTTCAAATAGAAGCAATTCTCAGAGATTTCCAGAATTAGTAATTTGCTCTAAAACCGTAGAGATGGGAAGTAAGTCTGTTAACTTTTTATCTCTTTTTATTTTAGGTGGTGACCAAAAAATATCGCAACTTTGATATCCCGAAAGAAATGACTGGCATCTGGAGATACTTAACTAATGCTAACAGTAGGGATGAGTTCACCAATACCTGCCCTAGTGACAAGGAGGTTGAGATAGCGTATAGTGACGTAGCCAAAAGACTTACCAAGTAGAGTGGCATTTATGAGAGCCATGTCTTCACATCTTCCCTTAACAGAACTTGCTTTCCTAACAGACTGCTCCTCTTCCTTTAAAGTAGAAACTCTAATTTACATGAATGTGCAGTTAATTCAAGATTTAGGATAAAGGGATAGACAAGGTATAGTAGCTATCTGAAAGTATACACTCCTAAGCAGTATTATTTTAAAATTCTCTTGACCTGCCTACCTTCCCTACCCATAGCCTCCTCTCTGCTCTAATTTGGAGACACTCCGTCACCAACTTTTCAGTTTAGAGGGAGTTTATTGTCATTCTGGATCCCTCACTGTTGGGTCCATTCACTGTGTACAGATGGCAGGATTTTTGAGGTGCAGTGTTTAACTGTTAAAAATAGTAGCCATAATTTCATTAGTCAGCCCCAAACTGGTGCATAATGCCTAGTACAAGGACTATTTATGTATCTTTGGAATCTTATCATATTTTGTAAGAGTATATGAAAGGATTGCTACTGTATCAGACATACTCTGTTTCAATTTAGTCTGTCCTGGATATGTACTAACAAATAGTACCACAGAGAAGAGAGCCTTTTACGACACTCACTACAGTTTATGCTATCTTACTTTGTAGTTGGATTTTTATTTTTGCCTGAAAGCACCTATCCTTCATACCATTTCTAACACTTGAGCTCTAAGTGCTCAAGACCTTCCCCTAAGCATTTTATCGTTTGGAGAAAAGCCCACAGGCATCTGATATGGTCACTCTCAGCCTATTGTTTGCTCTTCGTGTTTTACCTAGTGCCATTTATTTGGAACATTATTGTTTTTTTCATATTTTGTTTTAATTGTTAAAGTTCCTTTTTTAGGTAAGCATAGACCTTTGCTGTTTGTAGATTTGGAGCATCACTACAAAAGCTAGTATTTAGTTGATTTATCTATAGCAGTGCAGTGATTAATAGTGTACAAATTAACACTTAAATTAACCTAAGGGTGGGTTTGTCAAAATATCAAGTAAAGTTTTGTTCCTAAAGTGTATTTAATGTAGATAGCTAATCTAAAGAATGCATTATCCATCCTTTATGAAATATAAGGGAAGTCACAGAGATCACCAACTTTTCCATTCCATCCTTACTTAATGTTAGACTTTGGGTAGAGGGCTCTTTACTCCCTGTGGATTGAACTGTAGTTGTAATGTGGATGTATTTTCTATAATTGTGTCTAATCTTAGTTATTACATGTCTATGAGTTAACTTATATCTACAGCTATATTGAGGAATAGCACTCTACATAATTCTTGTCTGTTTATTTAAATCCGATGTCCTAAAACAGGGATTCTTTGTGTTCTAATAGGGGATGTCAAACTTGGTGAAAATAAACAAAAATTTCTATGTATTTATTCATTTTATTTTTAAAATAGATTTTCTAAATATTACTCCAAAGACTGGTTGTGATTATAATACATTTTTGGTAAATTTTTATACTTGTTTAAGAAGTGCTAATTCCCACAGGCTGTTTCTGGAAATTTGAAGTATATTGTTTATAAAATTGCAATATTTAGCCCTTTTATATGATAACATGTAGTAAGCACTGACTTTATGGAGGTAGTTTGACTTTTCTAAGCATTACTGCATATTTAAACCTATTAGTAATTTGCTTGGTCTAGAAAGATAAGAAAAGCTCCATGTTCTATCCATTTGATTCAAGGTGATTCCTTTGTCTTTTCTTAGAACTCCTTATTGCCAGTCCCAAGTTTCTGACACCTATGTGTTTGTAGTGAAATGTTGGAAGGATTGATCTGGTCTCCGCAAGAAGTGTGGTCAGGTGTATCAAGCTGATTACTGAGGAGTTACATTGCAGTCATGTCTGTGAGTGAGCGTAGCATGTGTGCCCCAGTACAGAGGCCAGAGCATCACTGTTCACTCACTTGAATGGAGTGCTGACTTGGCATTCAGGTGACATGGAGCCTTGTGGCCTCACAGTGTGACAAGGATTTAAGAGCAGGGCTGTCCTTCCCCATGAATAGTGGACTTCGTAGTGGAAAGGGCTACATTCCTCAAAATACAGTGGTGAAAAACACATTCTGAAACACAATTGGGAGGTTTATTTTCACTTTGGATATTGTTCTCTTAATTATTTTTAAGAGTATTCTGTAAGTGTACTTCTTTCTAGCTGGATGTTCAAGGGAGGCATAGGTGGTAGATGTCACTCTTTGCTTGACTGTGATTTTGACTACGATGTAATTATTTTTATCTGAAGAAAGAGTTTATTATCAGGGGAGATAGTTGAAATTGAGATTGGCATATGGACAAAGTCTGGGAAAAAGGATGTCCTTGCATCTTGTTTTTATATCGCCATGTATTTGTGGGAAGATCATAGTCATCGGATATGGATTCTATAATTACCCAATCAGTTTGCCTTCAAGTGTCTGAAGCCTTCTTTCTCCATTTGAGTGAGGAGATTGTAGTCTGAATGTAGACTGCACTATTATCTAAGGAAAAACTCTATACTCTTTCAGTTCACATAATCTCCCTACCTTTTGTTAATGTTGATGGAATTTTTTATATAATTCTGCTATCTTCTTTAATTAGTACTGTTAACTTGTGATAGCATTCAAATAAGATCTTATATTTTGGTAGCCTTGGCTTTTATGATAGCTAAATCCTTGAGCAATCTGTACATTTATTCTTACACTAAGTTGATCAATTTGAGAATTCGACATTTTTACTTCTATTGAGTTTTGAATCTACCATTGCATGTGGATAGCTTTTATTTCTGTTTACAAAAAAAATCAATTTAGAAAATGCTAAAGTAAAATGAGAGAAAATAGATATGTATTTTTTCAGGTATGTTTTGTTACACATTTCATTAAGTTTAATGCTTAATCATTTTCTTACATAGACTTTAATCAGTAATTGATTAAAAAAGAGGGAAACATTCAATAATGCCCCCCCCTTTTTTAAATCCACTCTTAAAAATGATCAAGGTTGGAATCTAAAAATTAAAAAAATCACATTTTTATCAGTGGATAAAATTCTCAACTCCCCGAGTTATACTGTTGATGAGAACTAGAGTATTTGATTTAGAGTTACTTGAAAAGGCACACAAAAGCTTATTGTCGAATGCTTCATATTTTCTTTTCTCTTTCTGGAACATCCTACACCAGTATATTGGTGGCAGCTATTGTATTAAAAAAATAAAGTATATTTTCTCTATGATAAAGGATTCTTTTTTCCCCCCTTGATGAAAATAAATAACGACTTGGGCTAAAAGTGTTTTGAGACTAATTTTTCCCCCCCTGCAAATGGAGGACTAAACATATTTAAAAGATTAAAGGAGGTGATTCATATGATCATCTCAGTAAGTACAGAAAAGAATTTAATAAACGCTTTCAACGGGACCAGAGGTAACTTTGTTTTAACAAGTTTAAAGACGTCATCAAGAGTCTGTAGCAAATGTTGTACATGAAGATGAACAAAAGACTTCTCGTTAAAGTCAAGAGTAAGGTTGGTTTACTCTCTATTACAGCTCCCGTTCTTCTACTCTCCACTGTTCTTTATTAGAGATACCCTGACCAAATGTGGTTTGAATCGCAAGGATGGTAGTTCAAACCCAACAGTCGTTTCTTAGAAATCCTAGACAGGGTTGCTGTGAATAGAACTGACTTGAGGACACTTAACAACAACCAATGCAATAAGACTAAATGTAAGGAATGGCTACAAAGTGACAAACTGTTGCTATTTGCAGAGGAAAAAATCCCAAATAACCAACAAATCTTTTAAAAAGAGACTTGCTGAATACATGATTGAGGAACATAATTGACATATTACTACTGACTAATATTACCAATGTTACGGACAGAAATGGGTTACTTCTGGGGCAGGACAAGTGGGTGACAAGGAAAAGGGGTGAAAGATTAAAAATATACTTGCTTGAGTCATTAAAAATATATAACATGAACATACTACCCATTCTAAGAAAAAGTGCATTAAAAGATTTAATTATAATTTACAAGGAAATTAGAACAAAAAGGAGTCTAAAAATTCCCATTGGAGGCATTCGACCCCAAATAGCTAAGGTGTATCTGTGGGTAGAAGATGTGGGGGAAAAGCAGTTATCTAACAAGATTCCGAGGCTTATTAAAAGCTTATAATAATTGATGTGAAGGATATAGTTGGTCACAGCAACATATAACGCTTTTGCTGCAACAACCTGAAAAGACTGGATTGTTGTTGTTATGTGCCGTTGACGGTTCTGACCCACAGAGACCCTGGACAGGGTTTCCGAGGAGCAGCTGGTGAGCTTGAACTGCCAGCCTTGCAGTTCAAACTTTGCAGTCACACTAGGACTCCCACAGCGCCACACTAGGACTCCGAAAAGACTGGATTAACTGGATTAGAACGTCTCAAAATACCAGAGAACTCTGGGAGCAATAAAGGCTAGACAAATTGTAATTTCAGAGGTCGATTGCTACTCTGGTTCTTTTCTCCCTGGAATGCATTTGCTTAATTTTGGGGCCATACTGGTGGTTGGAAGGAGCTCTGGTAGCATAGTGGTTACAAATCAGGCTGTGAACCGCAAGGTCAGCATTTGGAAACTGCCAGCTGTTCCCCAGGAGAAAGATGAGGCGTTCTGCTCCCGTAAAGATTTATAGCCTCAGAAACCCTGTACAAGAGTCACTATGATTCGTAACCAACTCCACGGCACACGGCCACCACCATTGGTGGTTGGAGTTGGCCCATGCAGAGGCGTTCTACTAGAGTAAAGACAATTAATGCTTTGGGATATAGTGTACACTGGAAACTTGAGGCACCCCAAACACGAGTGGTTTTCCTGCAGAACATTTGCTTAACTGCAGAGCTGTACTTGGCATGCTTGAAGCTAAGCTTAAGGTTTCTGAAAAGTAGAAATCATCCATAATTTCTCAATAATAAGAGAAAATTTTTATTAGAGGGAGGAGTCTGCCCCAAACGGAAAGCAGCTTGGTTGCCTGAGGGTGGGAGGAGGGATTGACTGCAACTGGGCATGAGGGTTTTAT